GTCTTACACTGCAAAATTAGGGACGGCTAGCGCAGATAGCCCTCGTGTAGCTTTGTGCGAAATTCAAAAACAAACAAACAAGTAAAACAAACCTTATTGGTTTTCCTTTCCAGGTATTGAGGAACACTCAGCATTAGGCTTAGTAAACACTAATGCACGAGTGCAAACGAGCACACAGGAAGTAGTACTTATACTTAAGCATTTCTTTCAAATTAATTATTACATGTATTTTTACAAAGTTATTGGTATATATTTAGAGATTATGCAAATAAAATATGAAAACTATAAAATGAATAAAAGTAGTTTTATTCTCAACCTAAAATCACCTTTTAGCGTTTTTGACCTAGGTAAAGTTTCTGAAATTCAAAATCAAAGTTCAAGTACAAATATTGTTAAAAAGTCAGATTTTTAGGTTTATAACAACTTTCATCTATGTACTAAAATCGTACACAACTGCATGAATATTAACGTAATATTTTTGATCTTACCTCGCAGTTTCGGGTCCTTTGATGATCGGAAGATGAATTCAAGACATTTATTTCCGCCGCTTCTCATTTCTTCTACTTTCCCTACTAAAGATGATCGTGAAACAAAGTTAAAAATAAAAATTTGGCAGCTTTAAATTTTTATATTTTTCGGTCATGACGTTTTCATCGAGTCGTTCGTCGAAAACAAAGAAAAAAAATCATATTTGAAGTCTCGTTGTGCGTACTAACATTATCATTGACGTAATACATATATATATGATATTGAGTCTGCCTTATATAATGTAGTGTTGACACATGGGGTATTATCAGTCACTTTGTACATTGTACATTAAATTTCTTAAAATATAATACATTTGTCGCTATAAAATATTTTGACAATAAGCATATGTAGGGCACATATTTTGTTAAGGTAAGAACAATTATCACAAGGCTAATATTCAACATATTGCTATACGAATGAGGCACACTACGTGGTAGATCTAACGTTTATTACATTGTGCACTTCACAATGAACTAGTGTTATGTTTTGTGTTTTCATGAAAAGGTACTTTAATGATAGCAGTGGGTTCAAAAGAGTTAACTAACATGAAATTCCTGTATTCAACGGTTCCTCAAAGTTCATGTATGTCTGATTATGTGTACCTGCTTAACATGAACTTCATCAAAGTTCATGTATGTCTGATTATGTGTAGCTGTTTAACATGAAAGTTCATGTATGTCTGATTATGTGTACCTGTTTAACATGAAAGTTCATGTATGTCTGATTATGTGTACCTGTTTAACATGAAAGTTCATGTATGTCTGATTATGTGTACCTGTTTAACATGAAAGTTCATGTATGTCTGATTA